AGAATTTGTAATACATTCTCTGCTGTCATATATAAATTTTTTTTAAAAGGCTGATATTTCACACTTCTCTTTTGTTCAAAAATCTACCACAGGGAGACTCAAGAGTACAGTGAGAAAAGCCTGTGCACTGGAGCCAAGTACAAGGGCTTCAATCTTTGTTCCACCATCCCACAGCTATTTCAATTTACAGTGATGTATGGTTTAATGGTGGCTATAAGCAGGCAATTTTGTCACTGTGTAATCATCATAGAGTTTACTTCCACAAACCTAGATGAAATAACCTACTACATACTCAAGCTATAATATAATATTAATGAAACCACTGTAGTATATGAGGTCAAAATTTATTTTTGTTTTAAATGTTCCATTTCTGTCATTTTGGGCACTTAATTCAAAAGGAAAAAACTGACACGCTGTATCAAACTTCTTTCTATATTCAACTATTTACTACATGAATAGAATTTATATCTAAGAAGTTTGTTTAAAAATTGCTCTACCTCCATTATGTACAACTATAATACACCAATTAAAAAAAATGGAGGGTTAGGGTTATAGCTCAGTTGGTAGCATGCTTGCCTCGTATGCATAAGGCCATGGGTTTAATTCCCAGCACCACATAAAAAAGCGGGGAGATAAACAGAACAAACCCCGTCCCCCAAATTGCTCTAGAAGTTCTGTTTTGGTAATATTGATTCATGGGCACACCAACTACATAAATAAAAAAAGTACAGTCCCATCAATTTAAAAGATATTTTCCAATATTATTTCAGCTAATCGGCTTAATAATTATAAATCTATAGTATTTCTGGCTTAAATATAATTATGACTCAATTCAGTTATTAGAAAACAACTTATAATCTTTCAGTGACAGGAACTCTCCTTTATATTAATTTTACTTAATATTTCAGTGAATGCATATTATTATTAATGTACAATAGCATAATTAGGATTATAGGTATGCACCACTATGCTGGCTGTTACATGAATTTTTATAACAGATGATACTCAGTATCAAATCAGAATTATCACTAGACATATTCACATGATAGGTTTTACTTTGAAATATCAATATTAAAAATTCCTAAAAACTTGCAATGAAGCATACTGTATACATTTTCAAAAAAATGATGAGAAATTTGTAAGCCAGGAAATAAATACATGGCTAGAAGTAGTGGCACACACCCCTAATTCCAGCTATGGAAGAGACTGAGGCAGGAGAATAACAAGTTCAAGCCCAGACTGGACAACTTAGCAACCTTGTCCCAAAATAAAAAATAAAAAGGTCTGGGTATAAATAGCTCAGTGGTAGAGCACCCTGGGTTCAATTCCCAGTACTCGGGCAGGCGGCAGAGGTGTGTAAAAAGACTAAGCTCTATAAACACAGTGATAGAAAACAACTTTTACTTTTCCCTACAAATTTATTTCTTTTTTTATTTTTATTATTATTTTTTTGTCTACATTTTAGGGAATTTAGTTGTTCAAATAAAATTTAGAAAACCTACCATATGCAAAACCTGATAGTTTTCAGTGTAAATATTTTTTTGTCGAGCTGAGGAGTAAATCCTGGACATTGCATATGCTAGGCAAGCAATCCACCATTGAGTTATATCCCCCACTCTGGAAAACAGTAAATTTAAAAGTTCCTAACATACTATTAAACTCTAAGTACAGGAAATATGAAGAGGGCATTAGGTTAAATTGACAAAAAGTTTGAACATATACTCCGCAAGGCTATGGGATATGGGAACTCTCATACAATGCTAATGAGGACATCAAATGTTAACTCCTGTGAACAAAAAAAAATTGGCAACAGCTATCAAAACTACATGTGAAGGGCTGGGGATGTAAGTTAGTTGTTAGAGTGCTTGCCTTGCATTCACAAGGCTCTGAGTTCAATCCCCAGCACGGCCAAAAAAAAACTGCATGTGACTTTACCCTCTGAAATATAAACTGCAATTCTAGGAATCTACCCCATAAATACATCACATGGATACTAATATATATATGTATGTACAAGTCTTTATTAAAGCCCTGTATTTAATAGCAAAAAAAAGTCTGGGGAATATTTCTTTTTATTAATATGGGACTAACTACCTATAGTAGTATTAGTATTATAGCAATAAAATAAATGATAAAAGATCTTTGTTACTGTGAACTACAGAATATACTATTATGGAAAAGTATCAAGGAGCCAAACCCAAGGGGATTGTTCTCCAAAGGTAATATATGTTTATATTTAAAATAATATTGATGGTAGATAAAAATAATAATAGAAGGTTAAATCATGTAATTTTTAAAACAGATTTACTATAGAAAACAGAAAAGGATATAGGGAATTAAGACAAAGCTACACATCTTGGAATATAATTTCTTTTGTAAATGTGACACTGGAACCATGTAAAATTTTTTACACAATTATAAAATAAATGAATATCAAAATAAAAAGCAATTCTTTAAAAATAATAAACAAAACTTTCTATTGACAGAATTAAAACCAATAATAAATAACTTATTTCAAATGACTTAAAAATAGAAATTTAACCATATACTTCCAGTTGGATACACCTGGTATGCCAGCAAATACAAAATAAAATTATTCTTAAGTCGTTCTTTTAGTAATTATGTTGCTATTATTAATGTGAAAATATTTTATATTTCTAATGGGACAAGGCAAATAAGTAAATCAACATCATTAGGAATCAAAACACTAATCAAAAAATGCATAAAATAAAAATGACTGATAAATTTGATGATACAAGAAAATACATTTTCTCCAAAGCAGTAACTGCTATTAAGCAAAGACAAACAAAAGTGTGGCAGAGAAACTGGTTAAAATACAGCTATATGCTGCATAATAACATTCTCGTCAATGATAGATTGCATATATGGTGGTGTTCTCTTAAGATTATAAAAGAGTTAAAAAATTCCCTATCTTTTAATAATAGCACAGCTGAGGTAATGTTTATGATGATAATGATGTAAATAAACCAACTACACTGACAGTTGAGGTGAAAGCATAGCATATACAATTATGTACAGTATACAATGCTTCACAATAAACAACTGTTATTGGCTTATATGTTTACTATATTTTTTATCATTACTTTACAGTGCACTCCTGAAGTTTACTGTATACTCTGTTACACTGGCAGTAATCTCATACATCTCCTGTTTACTGTGTCTCTTGACAGCATTGAGGCCAAACTGATTCCTATACCACCTAGGTTTGTGTTTAAGCATGCTCCATAATGTTCACATGAATAAACTGCTTAATGACTGCAGTTCTCAGAATGTGTCATTAAGCAAGGTCTGAATATATTAAAAACTGATATCACATCAATAGATGAATTTCTCCAAAACACTGTATTTCACGAAACCTAAGAAACCACTGTAAAATGCACCATTATTGTATGTAGTATTCTGAAAAAAAAAAAAATTATTAAACTAGCCCATGCTGCTAAAGATGCGTTAAATTTGAGAGAAGCTGAAATATGGAAATAATATCTTAGTCTCTATAAACAAAATTCTTTTTTTAAATTTTTAGTTGTAGATGAACACAATGCCTTTATTTTGTTGATTAATTTTTATGTGGTGCTAAGGATTGAACCCAGTGCCTCACTCATGCTAGGCAAGTGCTCTACCACTGAGCCCCAGCCCTAGCCCCCAAAATTCTTAATAATATTCTAAAGACCAAATTAAAAAAAAGGCAAAGGATATTAACTGACAATTACCTAATAAAGAAATAAAAATGGATTACTTAAATGAAAAAGTGTTCAACTTCTTTCACAATAAAAGAAATGCAAATTAAGATGCTATTTTCTATTGGCAAAGGTTAAAAGGTTGATAACATTGTGAGAGAAGTATGGGGAAACAGATGCTTTTAGACACTGCCACCTAAGTGTAATGAGGTATGTCAAAATTAGAAATAAACCTGTCCTGAGCTGGGATGTAGCTCAATGGCAGAGCACTTACTAAAAGCAAGTCCTTGGATCAATCCCCAGCAGCATATAACAAAATGAAACAAAAGAAGAAAGAAAGAAAAAAGCCGGGTGGGGGAAGAACACAACACCACACCCACACCCACACCCACACACATTACACACCTGCTCTGATAACAACAGCTCTACTTACAAGAGCTGTATCCTACAGATGTGCTTGCATGTACGTAAAATAACCCATATAGAAGGCTAATTTACTCAACATTATCTTAAGAAATAAAAAATTTAAGCTTGTAATAAGTGTGATGATATGTGTGATAATGTGTGTTAATAAGGTACCCCATACAATTGAATACTATGTACCCATGGAAGAGAATGAGGGTGCTTTTTATGAACTCTCATGGATAGTCTCCAGATTAAATTAAAGCAAGATCAGAAAAACTACGTACAATATTTCCTCATCTGTATAGAATATACAACTGTATAGAATAGAGTAGGAATATACATCTTTATAATGCGTAACATATTTTGCTATTGCTTGGATAAGTGTTCCCCAAAGGCCCATGTGTTAAAGGCTTAGACACAGCCTGTGGTGGTATTGGAAGATGGTGAACTATTTTAGAGATGGGGCCTAATGGAAGGAAGTTAGGTCATGGGGGTAAGTCCTTGAAAGATACATGGAATCCTGGCTCCCCTCTTTCTCTCTTACTGTTTTCCAGCTGTCATGAGGAAAACCGTTTCCATTACTATCCATTCCTGCTACAATGTACTATGCAGTCACAGGCCCAAAGCAACAAGGCCAAGCAATCATGGTATAAAACCTCCAAAATCATGAATAACCTTTTTGCTTATTAACTTGATTATCTCAGATATTTTGTTATTGTAATAAAAAGCCGACTAATGCACATTTCCATAGGAATAAACAAGAAACTAAGAATACCTATTTGCCTCTGGGGTGGGAAGTGGGGATTTTGAAGTTCACCAAACAAATAAGTCTTTTAATTAAAGTAACAGCTTTTAGTATATAACCTAAAAGAAAAGAAATTTAAAAGCAACACTTGCCTTTTTTCCTTTTGAGGTTTCAGAATCCTCATCTTCTTCTACACTGAGTAGATTTGCCCGACTACACAGAAAATAAGGGGGAAAAACTTTAAGTAACAATTATAATCCAAACATTAAATTAAATTAAAAGGTTTATTCTTTATGTTCTCCTAATCCAGAGAATCATAAAACTTTTTTTGTAAATAGTAAAATATTTTAGGCTCTGCAGACTATATAGTCTCTGTAACAACTACTCATCTTTGCCACTGTAGTATGAAAATAAGTCATAAACTACATATGTAGCTGTGTACCAATAAAATTATTAACAAAATCAGGTAGCGGGCAAGATTGAAACTATAGGTCACGAATTATTGATTCCTACTATAAATGAACAGAAAATCTTGTGGTTTTTTTAAACAATGAATTTTATATATTCTCATTCATTTTTCCTTTCTCTCTTGGATTGACATTTAGGGAATAAGAACAGAGAAACAAAATGCAGAGGAAGAAACACTGTCAAAGGAAAAAAAATCAGCTAATGAAAAAAAATTAATTTCAATGCTTCTGCCACAGTGAAATATTTATGATTTCACCACTCCTGAAAATATCAACCCTCCACTGAGAATCAGTGGCCTGAGATTTTTAAAAGATCAGACCAATATGTAACATGATCAAAAAGCTGAAGCCCAAGGATCATGATGAACCAGAGTACAATTCATAAATTAACTGCACAGCATAGCACTTTAAAATATTTTTTTAAATCACATAACCATGGCAAATCTTCCAACAAAGAAAATCTAACATACATTTTTGAAGACAATTGTTCTGCTAAACTGTTTATAATTAAAAAAAAAAAATCCTTGTTACTTATAACTAAGAGTGAAAAAAATATTTTGCTTCATTACCTTTATATATATCCTCACTTTGGGGGAAAGGTTAATCAGGGATTGAACCCAGTGGCGCTTAACCACTGAGCCACATTCCCAGCCCTTTTTTTTTTTTTTATTTTGAGACAGTGTGTCACCAAGTTGCTAAGGCTGATTTCAAACTTAAGATCCTCCTGCCTCAGCCTCCCCAGTCACTGGGATTACAGGTATGCACCACCATGCCCAGCTATATTTTATTTAACTTTTTAAATTCTAAAAACCAAAATGTTTGAAAAGCAGTATACTTTCTCTTTAGTTTAATTTCATAATTTAGTTGTATTTTCTCAAAACTATGTAAATACTAAATGTCTATAAGAAGAAAATTTAAATTGAAAATTAATCAGAAGACAAAAAAAAAAAAAGACCATAAAAAACTGACTTTAAGAAACTTACCAGTTCAAAGCTCTTCTTCAAATATAACTTGAAGGCACATAAGTGGTAATAATGAACAGAGCTATTTCCCAGATAGAAGTAAAGCACCTACAATATTTAGCCAACATAATTTTTGCATCAAGATTTCCAAAAAATACTTATAGTTTTGGTAGAACTTTGTGTGTATACTCATGTATACCAGAATTTCTTTCTTTTAACCAGTGGGACACAAGGGCAATAAAATCAAGAAATAAAAACAGCATCAAATGTGCAATACAAATCTCATGATGTGCTAAAAGTACTAATAAAACTAAAATTTAAAACAAGTATTTATTTTGGTACTGGGGATCTAATCCAGGGTTGCTTAACCATTGAGCAACAACACCAGCCCCTTTTAAAATATTTTATTTAGAGACAGGGTCTCCCTAAATTGCTTAGGGCCTCACTAAATTGCTGAGGATGGCTTCGAACTCATGATCATCTTACCTCAGCCTCCCAAGCTGCTGGGATTACAGGCATGCGCCACCACACCTGGCTTAATTTAAAATCTTTACACAGCATTCATTCCAAGTACACTAATAAAGTCCAATGGACACTCTGCTTAAACTTCTGCCTGGGTAAATATCTGTGCTTATCATTTACAATGGCACTACTTTCTCAAGTGAAATATGATCTACAATGAATGTGGTAGTGGTAGGGTCACAAAGGGAAAAGAAAGAAACTTTAGGACTTAAAGCTTTCATACAAAATTCAAGGTTCTTAATCTGGGCTCACTCATGACAAATGGTGGCTCTTCAAATTGCTGCCCAGAGTACCTATTCTTTAAGAATAATTTTCTTAATCTGAAAACTTCTATTGTATGACCAGTTTTTAATCACGAGGTTACATATATTATATTCACATATTTCTATATTTCAAAAGAATTTCAAAAGACTGACAAATGTAACAGTAAAATTATTTACCAATAAAGAATTGCTTTGTCTTTCCTTAATGTTACTGAGTTAAATGTTTCAAGTAAACACCATACTCTTAAAAATCTTTCCATTGAATGTTAATTTTCTAATGAGAAATTTCATTCTTATAAAATATCTGAGGGAAAAAAGTCCTTACTCTTTATCTGTATCTCCTTCACTTTCTTCTTCATGATCAAAGCTCCAATTATTTTTAAAACCTCCATCTCTCTTAGACTCTGATCTAGCCAAAGCTGAAATAAAAACAAACTGAAATAAGTATTTATTAATAGAGCTATTCAATACAAAACAAATCTGAACATTTCCCAAGCTCTTTGATTATTCTAAAATTTCTTGTGGGTTTTTTTTTTGTTGTTGTTGGTGGTGGTTTTTTGTTTCTTTATTTGTTTGTTTTTTGGTGGTGCTGGGATTGATCCAAGGGCCTTGTGCATGCAAGGCAAGCTCTCTACCAACTGAGCTAAATCCCGAGCCCTTTTTCTTCTTCTTTTTTTTTAACTATTTTTTGTAAACATCTTATTTTCTCCAAAGAGAAAACACATTAAAATGTTCTTTTTTTCTAATTATTATATGTATCTGCTACACAAAGAAGCTCAAATTAGTAAGATATAATAAAAATGGGGAGAAGCACATGAATATGTACAAATGTATAAAATCAGCCCTAAGTCTCCTTTGATCACCAATTCTAGAAATTAATGACTAATTTTAAAATAGTTTGCTTGCTTTACTCATGAGAACTATATCCAAACCTCTAGCCTTTTCCTTAAATTCCATCATCTCTGCTTTTAACAGAAGAAAAATAAAACAAGGTTTCCTGTGTTGGCAAGATGGTTAATTCGATGTCCAGAAAAACTTCGAATCAGAATACAAAAAATGCTCGGTATGTTTAAAAAAAAAAAAAAAAAGTAAGCATATAGCTGAACCCCCCTGAAGTCATAAATAACTAGAAAGTAGGAATCCAGAAAGATAAATAAAGTTCCAAAGCTGGCATATGTCTTGGAGCCATATGACAAAAAAAAGCCTGATGTCCTAGAGCCTATGCTTTAAGGAGATTAATTTCAGAATTTTAGCACAATGACACATAAGGTTAAAAAAACAGAAAACCGGGAGGATAACACTCCAACGAGGTGAGCCGGGGGGAAAAAAGAGAAAAAAGGGATTCACTAAAGAATAATTGTAATGTTTGATCCTTGACTCTAGGGTTCTGAGTTGAACTAAAGACAAATAAATTATCTGTGTGTCTACCTCACAGTAAGTGTTATAGCATAAATGTTCAGATGTTGAAATCCCAACCCCAAGGTGATGGTATTAAAAGGAAGGCCTGGGCTGGAGTAAAGCACATGTGAGGCACTGGGTTCATCCTCAGCACCACATAAAAATAAATTAATAAAAGTATTGTGTTCATTTAAAACTAAAAATTAAAAAAAGAAAAAGAGAGACATAAGAGAGTTTGTTTGCCCTTCAACCACAGAACAGTCAGAACACATCTATAAAGAAAGCAAGCCCTTATCAGATACTGCATCTGGATACCTTAATCTGACTTTCCAACCTTCAGAACTTTATATATATAGTTTAAGTCTATAGTACTTTGTTAATAGCAGCCCAAATGAACTAAGACCATTAGGGAATTCCTAACCATAAGCACATAATTATTAAGGTTTGAGGCCAGAATTTCACAACCAACATGGCCCAGCAAAATACATAATTAAAATAGCCTCTCCTTTGTTTCAAAAAGCAAAGGATGATAATGAAGGGAATGTCATCACCTGGAAAGCAATTAAGATACCCACACTGCCACTGCAGTTGCTCTAAGGCCTACCACCTTCAGAAATTGACCTGTGGTAAATATGGCTACCCTACTAGGCACAAGAGAAAATAAAACTGTATGTCAAGGCTAAAAGAACAAAATACTACTATTCAAATGAGGCACCTAAAAATCATATACCACAGATTAAGGCAGAGACTCCATTAAAGAACACCTAAATCTGTGAGGGCAGCTACTGAAATATCCAGTTCATGTTGAGAATCTCAACAACTAGTCAAGCAATAAAATGTTCTGGTTAAAAAAATAATTCCAAAAATTAGTAAAACCTCACATGAAAACATCATTAGCCATCATTGAAATGCAGATTAAAACCATAATGGGAAATTACTTCTCACCCATTAGGATGGCTATTATTATTATTATTATTACTATTATTATTATTATTATTATTATTATTTTAATGTAAAGTAGTGAGCTGGAACTCCAGTGCATTGCTGGTGGAAATGTAAAATAGTACAGTCACTGTGGAAAAAGTCTGGCTGTTTCTCAAAGAGTTAAACACCCATGCAAGATGGAGTGATGCCACTTATAATCCCAGTAAGTCTGGAAGTTGAGGCAGGACTCAGCAACTTGGTGAGACTCTGTCTCAAAAAAAAAAAAAAAAGTGCTGGGGTAAAGCTCAGTGGCAAGGTGCCCTGGATTCAATATCCAGTACCACCAGGGAAAAAAATAAGTAAATCAGCTACATAATCCAGCAATTCCACTTCTGGGCATATACTCAAAAATAACTGAAAATATGGATTCACTTGTGCACCAACCTTCACAGAAGCATTTATAATAAGTGAAAAGGTGCAAACAATCCAAATGTCTATTCCTAAGAGAACAGATAAACAAAATATGGTGTATGTATACACACATACACACTCTGCAGTATTATTCAGCTCCTGAAAGAATGAAATTTGGATATATGCTACGACTTAGATGAAACTTGAAAACACTACTCAAACAGGCAAGAAACAAAAGACAAATACTGTATTATTCCACTTATCTAAGAGAGCTGGAATAAGCAAACTTATGAGACAGAAAATAGAACAGAAATAAAAGTAGGCATAATTGTAATTTTATTACCAAAAAAACTCTTCTTAAAGGAGTGGGAAGACTCAATGTGACTTACATAAGCAAACAAATTTTCTCTTAAAATACATAAAACATAAATGCAAGTCTCAAAAATTAATTTCAAATATGAATTCACAACCAAAAATACCATGAAACAGGAGGAAACAACTTATCATGACCTAATATGAAACTTCTTTACGTATATACTGTGTTAAAAATATAAATAAATAATAGTAGATAATGAGAGAACAAGATTTCTTCTTGTTGGAAAAAGAAGTCACAAATAAGCAAGAATGGAAAGCTAAACTATCTCTGTAGTGCTGAATTAGAGTCAGAGATATCAATATGAACTCATGTTTATTTAGTATATACATACAGATGGTCAGATGTAAATATAGATGTGTTATAACATTAGTATAAATGGCTAGGACTTTGTCCTATAAGAGGATCCAGAAGCAGCAATACCCCAGTAGCAACAAGCATGCCCACAATCCAATCTTGGATTTTATATACCATTTTCTCCAATAAAGGAATCAGAGATCTTAATGGGGAAAATACCTGATTTTAAGGGAGAGGCAGAAAAAATACAAGTTGAAACTGGTATATCTTACAGTGCCAGAATATAAGAAAGTGCTTTAAAAAGAAAAAAAAAAAGGAAGGGGGTGGGGGGCTGCAACGCAACATCAGATGAGTTGAGGAACCAACCTGAAAGAACTCCCCAAAAGTCTAGCAAAATTGGCACAATTTTAGTAAAAAATGAGAACAGCATTGGATTATAATCCCACAATTAAAATAAATAGAGAGAATTTTTCATAGGAAAATTTCAAATAGCAGTCATACATTCCTTCCTATAAGAGAGAACTTAATTCTCCTTCCCATGAGTATGGACTGGACTTGGTAACTTGTTTTAAAAAAAAAAAAAAAAAAGACAACCAAAAGGGGAAAAAAATTGAAAGCGGAGAAACCTGATAAATAGTACATTAGCCAAAATAAATGATCAATGTCAACATCAACACTGATATGTCTTATTCCTAACTTATATCCTTTAATACAATATGATGAAGATGATACTTCAGCTCTCTTGGTTTTCATCTCCAAAATTCATAATGCCAGGTTAATCACCAAAGAAATCAGACAAATCAAACTGAAGTACCATCTATACAGTAGCAGCTTGCCTGTAATCCCAGAAATTTGGGGGGCTGAGACAGGAGGACTTACTGCAAGTTCAAGGCCAGCCTCTACACCTTCAAGAGGCCCTAAGCAACTTAGCAAGACTATCTCAATTTTTTTTTTTAGTCATACATGACAGCAGAATGTATTTTGACTTATAATACATACATGGAATGTACATACATCAATCATATTGCCTATTCTATTCTGCTGCCCTTCCTATCCTCCCTACTCCTCCTCTCCTCTCCCATCTTTTCTCTCTATCCAATCTAATGTGACACACTTTTTTTTTCTTTTTATCATTACAACATCATATATGTATTCTGTATAACAATGAGGTTCTCCTTCCATCTTCCATGCAACTCCCCTTCTCCCTCTTTTTCCCTCCCACCTCTCTTCCCTATTTAGTGGTAGTCTTCTTCTCATGCTCTTCCTCCCTGTCCCATTTTGAGTCACACCCCTTATATCAGAGAAGACATTAAAAAACAAATTGGGATTGGCTAACTTCACTTAGCATAATCTGTTCTAATGCCATCCATTTGCCTGTAAATGCCATGATCTTGTTATTTTTTAGTGCTGAGTAATATCCCATTGTGTATAAATGCCACATTTTTTAATCCATTCATCTATTGAAGGGCATCTAGGTTGGTTGCACATTCTAGCTATTGTGAATTGTGCTGCTATAAATATTGATGTGGCTGTGTCCCTGTAGTATGCACTTTTTAGGTCTTTTGGGTATAGTCCGAGAAGGGGAATAGCTGGGTCAAATGGTGGTTCCATTCCCAGCTTTCCAAGGAATCTCCATACTGCTTTCCAAATTGGCTGCACCAATTTGCAGTCCCACCAGCAATGTATGAGTGTACCTTCCCCACCCGCCCCCCCTCAAATCCTCGCCAGCACTCGTTGTTGTTTGACTTCATAATGGCTGCCATTCTTATTGGAGTGAGATGGTATCTTAGAGTAGTTTTAATTTGCATTTCTCTGATTGCTAGAGATGGTGAGGATTTTTTCATGTATTTGTTGATTGATTGTATATCCTCTTCTGAGAAGTTTCTGTTCAAGTCCTTGGCCCATTTGTTGATTGGGTTATTTGCTTTTTTGTTGTTTAACTTTTTGAGTTCTTTGTGTACTCTAGAGATTAGAGCTCTATCTGATGTTTGAGGGGTAAAAATTTGTTCTCAGGAT